GAAGGGAGAAAATCTTAAAGTCAACTAGAGAGAAAAAACGGAATTCCCAGAAAGGAATGACGATGAGACTGATGGAGAAGTCCCAATACCAGAAAGAGGAGCCAGAAGACAGAGGCACTGAGAGGAAATAACTATGAGTTTAAAATCCTGCTTGCAGCCAAATCGTAACACGAGGACAAGGGTAAAACTGACATTTTCAGACACAGACTTAGAGATTTTCTCATTCACGGGCCCACCTGCAAGTCATGCTAACGAATATATTTCAGGGAAAAGGAAATTAAATCAACGAGGGTAGGTGAATTGAAAGAAGCAATTGTGAGCAAAGAAACCAGTAAACTTGTGGGTAAATACACAAAATGCTGACTTATTTATAACTAACAACAACTATAATAATAATGGGTACCAGGGGGAGGTTAAAGACAGGCAGAACTAAAGTATGGGTCAACAAAAACATGGAAGATCGAAGAGGACAGTGAGCAGTAAAATATCCCAGCATCCTTACTTTGTTCTGGTGGAGAATAGAGACATTCATCAGCTTTAGAATTTGTTAAGTCATAGATCAGTTTTAAAATGTAAGGGTAAGGGTGAGGCATACTGTGTTCATGGACTGGCAGACTCAATAAACGTGTCCAGTATCCCCAAATTGATCTATGAATCTAATGCAATTCTAATAAAAATTCCAGAAGCGTTTTTTTTAGATAGACAAGCTGTTTATAAAATTTATATGGGAAGGCAAATGAATAAGAATAGATAAAACAATTTTGCCAAAGAAGAATAAAGTTGGAGGAATCACAGTACCCAATTTTCAAATCTTAACTATAAAATTGCAGGAATCATGACAGTGTGACAGTGGGAAAGAACAGACACAGAGACTACTGGAAAAGAACAGAAAGTCTAGAAAAAGACCCACACAAGTATGACCAATTGATTTTTCATAATGGTGCGAAAAATATTTAGTGGAGAAAAGATAGCCTTTTTTTAAATAGATTTTATTTATTTATTTGAGAGAGAGAGAACACAAGCAGGGGGAGCGGCAGGCAGAGGGAGAGGGAGAAGCAGGCTCCCCACTTCGGGCAGGGAGCCCAAAGTAGGACTCGATCCCAGGACCCTGAATCATGACCTGAGCCGAAGGCAGACACTTAACTGACTGAGCCACCCAAGCACCCCAAAAGATGGTCTTTTTGATGAATGACACTAAGACAATTTAACATCCATATGCAAAAAGAAGAAAAAGAATCTTATTAAAAAATTAACTCAAATGGATCAAAAATCTAAATGTAAGTGGGAAGCTATAAAACTTAAGAAGAAAAAAAAAAAACAAAAAACAAAAACCACACGCATAGGAGAAAATCTTCCTGACCTGGAATTAGGCAAAGAGTTCTTAAATGTGCACCAAAAGCATGATCTGTTAAAGAAAAAAGAATTATAAATTGTATTTCATCAAAATGAAAAACTTGCTTTGCAAATGACAGTGTTAAGAGAATGTAAAAGATAAGCTAAGGACTGGGAGAAAATATTTGCAAATCTTCCGCCCAATAAAGAATTTGTATCCAGAATTTATAAAGAACTCTCAAACTGAACAGTAAGAAAACAAATAATCCAATTACAAAATGGGCAGAAGGCTTGAACAGACACCTTCCCAAAGAGAATATATGCATGACAAATAAGCACATGAAAAGATGTTAACATCATAAACTTGTATTTACAAAAAAAAAAAACAACCTAAACACAAATATTTATAGCAGCTCTATTTGTACTTGGTACAAACTGGAAACAATTCAAATGTCTTTCAATGGATGAATAGGTAAACTGTGGTATATCCGTACAATAGAATACTACTCAGCAATAAAAAGGAATGAACTACTGATATATGCAACAACTTCAGTGAATTTCAAAGGCCTATGGCCCAGAAAAGAATCCAGTCTCAAGATGTTACATGCTCTATGTTTCCATTTCTGTGTTATTCTCAAAGCCACGAAACTATAGTGATGGAAATGGGCTAGTGGTTGCAGTGCCTGGGGAGAGTATGACTATAAAGGAATAGCATGATGGACGTGTCGGAGTGATGGAACTGTTCTATATCCTGATTGTGGTGGCTACACAAATCTATAAATGTGTTCAAATTTATAGAACTGTGTGTCACCCCCAATGAAAAGTCAATCTTATTCTCTAATAATTTTTAAATGTTTCAACATAAGGATAACTAATAATGTATAATTTCCAAACCAGTAGAAGAAAAAAGATAAGGCTAAAGAAATAAGACATAACACTAGAAGGAAAAAGTATACTGATATGCAATGAACTTAAGCACACCAACTACAGGCGAGTGGCCACCTCCTGTGGGGGAGGAAGCGAGGAGCCAAGAAGGAGTTAATGTTTCTTTCTTTCTTTTTTTTTTAATTTTTAAAAATTTTTTACTTAAATTCAATTTAGTTAACATACGGTGTATGTATATATTCAGGGGTAGAATTTAGTGGTTCATCAGTTGCATATAACACCCAGTGCTCATTACATCAAGTACCCTCCTTAATGCCCATCACCCAGTTACCCCACCCCCTCACCCCCCTCCCCTCCAGCAACCCTCAGTTTGTTCCCATAGTTAAGAGTCTCTTAAGGTTTGGGGCACCTGGATGGCTCAGTCGTTAAGTGTCTGCCTTCAGCTCGGGTCATGATCCCAGAGTCCTGGGATCGAGCCCCACATCGGGCTCCCTGCT